AACTGAGGTCGAGGCTGGAGCCCGCACGAGGCGACGCGAGCGCGCGAGGAGCCGGAGTGCTGGGTACATGGTGCTGAGGAAGCCTGGGTAGATTTCTGGGCGGCTGTGGCCACGCCTCCGCGCAGGCTGTCAGAGCCAGTCCTGCCCACCCGCTCTTATCCAATCAACAGCCTCAAACCTAGAGAGGGGGCAGAACCAATCGTGAATGGCCAAAAAAAGAGTGAAGGGGCGGGTTAACTTCCTAATTGTAGTAGTGTGGTGGTTAAAGCCCACAGATTCTTGGGAAACTAGAAAGAAGGGGATTATGGGAAACGAAGTTCAGGCTTTTCTTACAGCCAGTTTCTGTGTGTCCGTTAGAAGGCGAGGGTATTAGCTAATAAAACAGTTAGTGTTTGGTTGGTGAAATATGCTAGAAAGCAATATTTATTTTTGTATTTATCGTGTAATCACTCATTACATGTTCCATTTTGAAATCCTTTTTCGTTTCTTCCAGATATCTTAAGTGTAGAAATTTGGAAAGTGCAGCAAAATATAGAGAATTACTCATAATCTCACCGCTCAAAAATAAAATAATTACCCATTTCTTTTAACTTGTCATTTTGAGGTCTCCACAATTTCCTTTATCTTCTTAGCCTGTATTCTCAGAATTCTCTTTTTTAAATGTAGTGTGAAAGATGTCCATAAAAAGGTGACCTGGGAATTTGTATTTTTTTTTTTGCATAGTTAATATATGCATTTTCAAATTAAGAAAGGTATATAGCGTTAATATGATAGGTGATGACAGAAAAGCAGGAACTGACGTAAAATTGCATCTGAACCACAATTTTATCTCCTCTTCTCCTTTCTATTGCTTGGAACCAAATAGCAATTAATAAAGAGGATAGAGGATGTCCAGAAGTCAAAAGTCCAGAACCTGCAAAGGCAAGGTTACAAGTGTTGGTGGCTCTGTTAAACCTCTTGGAAACATTGTTTATGTTGTTTTATGACTTATAAATTTGACTCATATTTAAAATAAAAAAATTTAAA